TATATAGAATTCATTATAGGGGCCTATATATATATATATATATAGACCTATATATCTTGTATATAAAAAAAATATATTATTATTTTATTATTATTAATTATTATCATTGTAAATATTAGTATTAATGTATTTGCCTAAGTAGGCCCTGTGTATAGCTTGTGATGCTAATTATATGATGGTTCTTGACAGTACTTGGTATTGCTGTACACACATACTAATCACTGTCATCATTAATCTATTTGCCTATGTAGGCCATAATATAATTAGTATAAGTGTAATTGTGTGATTGATTATTATTATTTTTATTATTATTTTCATGTATTAAATATTATCATTATTATCATTATCATTATTATTATTATTGTTAATACTATCATTTATTATTATTATTATTATTATTATTAATATTAGTATTATTGTTATTATCATTATAAATAAATTATTAATAATCTATTTGCCTATGTGTGTATATCACAGGACGCTAATTGTAGGACGGTTTTCTGCTTTATCCAGAGATATAAAGTTTTAATTGATATTTATTAAATTGTCAACCTGGATAGATGAATCTACATCAGTCGTGTATGACAGTTGTTGACAGTAATTACAGTATTATTATAAGTCAATCGTGACGTCATCACTGTAACTCCCAATGTTAGTTGCCTATTCCCCAGCATCCACTAATTTTTCTATTAGGGGACGCTTGGCTTGATTTTTTTTAGGTTCGTGTGCAAAAAGAAAATCCTCATTTTTTTGTCACCGCGTATACATCGCGCACCGCAATAAATATTGAATTGTAATTGAAAATTAATTTCGTAAAACAAGCTTAATTATAACCCGAAGAAAGTTACTTCAAATTCAATATAAGTATGAACAATTAAGGAATTCATTGAATCAGTGGACCCTCATAAACACAACAAACTGAACGTTTAATAGGAATATTCTAGACCTATTTTAAAGACTCAAGGAACAAATTTAGATGTAGGCCTACGGCCAGGCAGGAGGCCTTAAGGTAACCTAAATTATTTTAGCAGACTACAGTATTAAACTGTTACACTGTAACAGCAGTACGCCAATTACACCACAAATTACTATTGTTAAAGGTTACAATATATGACATGGAACAATAATGCTTGACCTTAACATAACATTTAGAGAATTTACCAGATAACACTACACAATGCATGGCACTAATTTTGGTATCACAATTGTCTGATAAGTTATTACAGATAAGGTGGTTACATAGGAGCATACATATTTTGCTCTAATATTTGATCGTATTTAATAATAGGATCAAGATTTTTGCCTTATTCCAATTGTATAACTATAGAAAATACTAGCATATAAGAAATAGGCCTCTGCAAAGAGCATTAGTATGCTGTATGATTTCAGTAGATTTTAATAGTTTTTATATAAATTGATGGTGTTCAGTAATTTTATTGCATCTACAATTTTTTTTTTATAAGAACCAGTAAAATTTTGCCCAGGTTAAGTGTTGTTATTTTTTTGCCCATTTCAGGCTCAAAATGTTCTTATTTTTACACACTTTTCCAACATAGAAAATTAAGGTACAGATAAGATTTGTTGGTTTTTCTAGTTTTTGAAATAAAAACCTTATTTAACTTTTTACACCAGCCTCAATTTGTTTGTGGGGGTGGTGGATAATAATAAAGTTCTTAACCGTTCTGAATCAACAGAACAAGTGGCGGCTGTCATTGACTACCACAGTAGTTGACAAGCTTCAACAGTGCAAAACAAAAGAAGGTCCCTAGAGGGAAAAAATATGTTAGCTGACCTTATATTTCACTTTCACGTTCCTTGTTTTTGTTTTCTATTTTAGTATTAGCTAACCGTCTAATTACTTACTTATCTTCTCTTTTACTTTCATTCTATGCTTCCTTAACTTTCCGTGATTCCTATTTACCTACCTTTTCTTTCTTTAGTCTCTCTTTTCCTTTTAATTACCTTTTCTTTTCTTTCCTTTCCCCTTTCTTTCTAATGTCTCCTAATGCATTGCTTCTTTAGCTTAAATTACCTTTGTAATATTTCCTTATCTTTCTTCTTTTTCTTTGTTTCCTATGTAACCTTGATTTTTCTTGTATTTACTTTATTTCTTTTCTTTCCTTTTCATTTCTTATGCTTTTTCATACATATCTCATTTTATTTTATCTTATCGTTTCTTTCATATCCTGATTCCTTCTTGTCCTTTTCTTTCTTTTTACCATTTCTTAGGTTGCTTTGAATAACCTTTCTTTTTCTTTCTTATAATTCCTTCTTTTCATTCCTTTTTCTTTCTCATATTTACTTTTCTTTTCTTTCATTTTCTTTCTTTTGATTTTAGTTCTTTCTTTACTTTTCTTTCATTCTATTTTTTCTCACACCTTTCGTTGGTGTTCTTGAATATCCTTTCCTTTTCTTTCTTATGTTTCATTCTTTTCTTTCCTTTTTCTTTCTTATATTTTCTGTTCTTATCTTTCTTTCTTTATCCTTCCTTCAATATAATTATTCCCTTTCTTATAATTCCTTCTTCTCATTTTTTCCATTTCATTCTTATACCTTTTCATAGGTGTCCTTGAGTATCCTTTCATTTTCTTTCTTATGATTCGTTCTTTTCATTCCTTTTTTTCCCCTTATATTTACTTTTCTTTTCTTTCGTTTTCTTTCTTCTCGTTTCTTTCTTTTCTTTCATTCTTTCTTTCTATTTTTTCTTTTACCCTATCATAGGGGTCCTTGAATTTCCTTTTCTTTCTTATGTTTCATTCTTTACTTTCCTTTTTCTTTCTTATTTCTGTTCTTATCTTTTCTTTTCTTTCTTTATCTTTCTTTCATATAATTATTCTCTTTCTTTTTCTTTCTTAGGACAATTTAAATATTTATTTCCTTTTCTTTCCTTTCTTAAGTTCCTTTCTATTCTTTCCTTTCTTTAATATATTATTTTACTTTTCCTTAACTTGTCCTTTGCTTTTCTTTGCCTCTTTCTTTTCCTTTTTTTTTTTTCTCTTTTCCGCTTTCCTTACCTTTTTCCTTTCTTTCCAGTCATTTTATTTCAATTCCTTTTACTTATTCTTTGGCTTTCTAAGCAGTCAGTCCAAATGTCATGCAGTGAGGGATAAAAAGAAAAGAAAAGAAAATCAATAGACAATATACCTTGTAAACAGTCAGCCAGAGGCTAACAACATCCATTGAAGCTATCTTTGATGAACTGACTTCTTGACACGCCAGAAAACTTAACGGCTTTATCAAGAATAAAGGATGTTAACCTACCTTTTCTTTTATTCTTAGTAACATGAAATGCCAACATTTTACAAGGGTGATTGTTTCCACGCCTGATAATGTGTGAGCACCACTTTATTTGTTGAGCCTGATAGAAGTCATTTATTGATGAAGTTTTGGTTATCGAGTGTAGCTCGTTATTGGTCCGAATGAAACTCCATTCGATTTCAGTCTTTTCATTGGATGTGCCGGATGATGGGTAAGGATTTTTCCTTTTGAAACCGTCATATACCATGTTTCGAAGAAAGAAGTTATAGGTTGATTCAATTTTGTCTATTTCAGTTTGAGTGGGTCTCCAGGCATGGCAGCCATATGTCAGTCTAGAATGAACAAGTGAATTCATTAAGTTGATTCTTAGTTTGAGAGGGATATTCGAGTTGGTAAGCAACTGGCGATGTTCTGCAAAGGTAGCATGTGCGCTTGATACACGATGTTTAAGCTCGCGATCCCCTATGTGTATGTTATCACATGTATTCCATACACCTAGGTATTTGAAATCTTTGGAATTTTTGACCGCTGTTCCTTTGATTGTAATTATATTTCTAATATTAAGTAGCATAGCCTTAGTGTAAACAAAGTTGGGTTTAGACATTTATGATAAATTTGTATGATTTTCAGTGTTTTTGAACAGATGGTCACATAAAGTATACGGTCACCCAAAAATATGGGGATCAGTATTTTACAGAAATATGCGACTCATGTCGCTTTTTAACAAATCAATTTTTAACATGAATTTTAAATCTGAACCATCTGTCACAATCCAGAGAATAAGGAACAGCCTTCTGCAATCTATCTCATGTGGATTACATGTTTTTACTACATGAGTATCACCGAGCCATGTGCAGCAAAATTCAATGATGGGTTGAGAAACCACATCAGTGATTTTAGATTAAAGAGTAAACAACACTCAAATAAGCTGTTAAATCTGTCTAAACAATAAAGACCAACAAACAATTTATTATTGAATTTTATAAAACTGTTGTTCCATCGATAAACTACATAAATACTAAAAATCTAAAATTTTTTTTAAGTTTCGAGTAAATTTTCGACCCGAACTATTTTTTTTTTACACAAGTGCCAATCTTTTCTAGGCCAAGTCCTGTCTGAATTTAGAACCATTTGATCACTCACAGTGTCCCTTTAAATGCCAATAACAGCAAAGGCCTCTTACTTTTTTTTATTGTTTTATTTTCTTTTATTATCTGGATCATAAAAGATGCATTGTTGACTGTAGTGTATCTATATCAATGTTATGACAAAAGGAAATATGGTACTTGACCAGGAGCTTGAGTGTGAGTTCTGCCTGGGCCTTGAGACGATTTTATTGTGGAAGGCGCACTACAAATATCCCACCATTACCATTACCATTACCATGGTCCGACAGTGCCTGGTTGTTCATCAGTGTTTGTACATTTCATCTTTGCACATGGCTTGTAAAACACATCTATGTTCTCTAAATAGACCGTGGGTTGAGGCTCCAAAATCGGCTTAGTTTACGAATTCTGTGACCCACCGATCCGCGCTACTTGACTTTCGCACAAAAATGTCAATACTATTTTATTGAAACATAATATAATTGTCGGCAATCGTAAATTTGGGGAAACTGTAACCAAAAATGAGAATTTATCTTAAAAAAAATAATGTCGTTCACGAAAGCAGTACCCAATCACAGCACACTTACCATACCTGTTAAACATTGATGAGACGCTATTAGCCAATCACAAACATTCTTGTAAACTCGGTAACTAATGTAAACAATTTCGCAAGGAAAGTGACAATGTGTAGCAATTTGGACGAAAGTTCTCCGGTTTTAGTGGAATATTTCAATATGATATAAGTATACCAGCCTTTAAATAAAATACATTGGTAATAGTTGTAAGATTTTAGA